AAGTCATTTTATTATACAAAACAAGACGCTTTCCAGGATTCTACGATATTCTTTCCGAAAATTATAGGGTAGACGAAAAGAGAAAAAACGGTAACGCACAGAGATGCCGGTAGCAGAGTTACGCGTTTTTCACGTACTGCTCTGGCAAACTTCAGTTAAAAATTTATAAACCTAGAAGTATTCCAGAAAGGTAAAATTTCAGAAAGTATGTAATTTGACGCGCTTTATCCAATCATGCTAAAACCCCTGAATTAAGTTTTGACTTTAAATCAAGAATTAAACTTTTTCAGAACTTTTTAAGAGCTTTTCATTTTTTATAGAATCTAACTTAAAAATTTCATAACTCATACTTGTATCTTTTTAAATACGAAAAACAAGTAAAACAACAACAAATAATGTTTAAGGTAGTTTACCTTCTTTGATAAGTCATGTAATTTCGATATTGGAGTAACCATGAGTATAAATCTAAAAAAATAATTGATCGTATATGAGTTACTGGACATCATTTTTCCATCTGCTCTTGATTCTCCAAAGCGTTTGCTTAATAATTGTTGAAAATGAGTAAGACTACTTTCAAGATCATCTAACATTATAGGTGACTTTTCTTTCAAATACAGATCGATCATTTCTTGACTATAAATTAAAGCTTTTCTATATTTGTTTAACTTTTTCGGCATAAAAACGCATTTAATTTCTCGATGTTTTTTCAATGTTCTTTTAGGCAAAATAGAATCCGTAATCAATAAAACATTGAGATAATGTCTGACTGACATTAAACAACTGAATAAAGCGTTCGTATAATCCCGTTTTTCTTCATATAATTGAATCGACCGTTTATGTCTGTAACAATCTAATATACATTTATTTAAAATCAACTCTAAATCTTTTTCATTATCAATCTCGTCGTTTAGATTGTCATCGTGAGACTGTATTAAATGTATCATCTGTTCTACATTCCTGTTTATCACAAAATTGCCTAAAGCCGGCGAATTTTCATCTAATCCGGTGTATTTTGTATAGATAGCTGTCACTAATGAATGCTCTGGTGGTAACGATCGAAGTGCTTTCAAATAATACCTGTCCGCCTCTGTGTCATTCATCTCTCTACGGTTATATTCAGCGATACTGGCATAGGTAATAGCTAAAATAGGATGTTTGTTTGGTAAAGATTTTTCCAGTATTTCCGCTATTTTCTCATAATATTGTAGTTCTTCTTTATATAGTTTCTGTCGACGATAAAACATGCCAACTGTAGCATAGAAACTTATGATATCATAATAATGAGTTGAAAATTCATCCAACAAAGTCTGAATTGACTGTCTGTCTTTCATTTGATAACGTTCGTTTAAGAAGTCTGCAAGATTGTCGTCCGTTGATTTTTCACCAATTATTCTACGAACTGCTCGAACTGTTAAATGGTCATGCGTTTCACGATGCAAACTAAGTTTAACGTACCATTTACCGCTCCATAGTTCTTCGTACTCCTCAATACGAAAAACCGTTCCTATTGAAAATAAAATCTCATTTTCACCTTTAAAATAGCCTAATTTTCCTATTCTGATATAGGGATAACCACATTTATTTTCAATATCGATTTCAAATAATACTGACACCATACCTTTCTCATCGCTATCACCCGCAAAGAAAAGAGCCGTATCACTCTCAGGTGTTGTAGAAAAGAATGTATTAAATGAAATAAGCCCACCAACATGATTTTTTATTCCGTTAAATTCGTCTTCGGATAATTGTTGTCCACGATAGACAGTTAGGGTTTTCGATGATCTCAATTGTAATATGTGCAATCGACATAGTTGATTATGAAGATCAGAAATAACAGTACGAAAACGAAATATTCGATCAATATTTTTTGTTCGTAATGCTTTATTCATTAATCTATACAGAAAGCAGTCTCTAGTATACCACCAAATTGATTTTGTTGGACAGTAGTTTAACTCAAATTCGTCAATTTTTGCCAGTTCTTGCAAATTGTTCTTATAGTACATGCGGCAGTGCTCGATTATTTCACGTTTAGCACCCGGTGACGGAGGCGTACGCATCAATGTTTCGGCTAATAACTGATAAAAAACAAAATTTCCATTTTCATCAAGTAAACTACAGGTTGAGTTTTCGCTTAATGTGCTTATAGATAATGTGCTGGATCGATGTTGTTTTGGTACATCTCTCATCAATTTCGATAGCAGCGAATGTTTATCCATAATTAAGCCAGTTAGTTTTTGTTAATATGTGACATGTTCAAGATGAGTAGCGTAGTTTAAATGTGCTTAATTTGGTGCATATGACTCTTTGTTTTTATTTTTATTTTGGTTCTTATCTTTTGGCATGTAGTAGAATATATATAGAATCAAAGAACATTTATTTTTTCTTATTTTTCCTATCTGAAGCGCGTAATGATAATAACCTGCACTGTGGGACAAAAAGTGAATGAAACAAGTATTGATAGTCTATATTTTCAACATTCTTAAATGCTAAGAGGTATTGCATCCAACACAGTTGTAATACAATTCAGGAAGCAAAATAGGAAAAAATTAATGTTTTCTGGCGGCTCATACTCGTATAGGGCTTGTCCAAGCGTGACATTGCGACATTTTTGACACAGTAAATTGAGCTTTTCTCAAAAACTGTATAAGCTAGAAATTTCATTCTTGGGCCATTCGACGCAGCTCGCCATACTCTACTTTCGATGTAAAAACGAAGGTATTTGGTTAAAAGCTCGAATTTTTAGAACCGTTTGTCGATGCGTGACGCTGTGACAAAAAAGGCCCTAAATTCGAAGTTCTTCTCAGTAAAAGCTAATTTGCTCCAAATTTAGAAGACTTAATAAAAAGCGTCTGAAGCAAAGTTTGTAGAGGAGGAAACGAGCTATTGATTACTTAAAAAAAGATTTTCCGATGAGCTTCCCATCCCTCAATAATTGTGTTTTAGCGCCGTGACGCTGTGACATTTTTCGTGACACTGTGACACACGCTTCTCCCAACAGGTTTTGGAGCACTAAACGTTGCTCAAAGGATTTGCTTTTTCACATCGAACGTAGTTCTAGGCATCTACTATAGACTAACATGAAAATAAAGTAGAAAAAATGTAGTTACTCCCTTAGAATTGTCCGAGAATCTCAAAACTTCAAACTTATTAAAAAGCTTGTTTTGAGTCTAAACTTCAAAAGAAACATACCATCTTGTAGTAAATCGAATTCTCTATCGTGATCTTCTCTAGTGTGATCTTCCATTTTTTAACGAAAGGTGTCTAGGTCAGGAAACTGAAAATACAGTTTTCAAAAAACGTAAAACTGGATTTTTGCCGCCAAAATTTAAGTTTTAAAAAAAATAATGTAAGATTCGTAATTAGCATCAAAAACTACATCTAGTGATGTGCTTCTTTCAGTTCTACCCTAAAATAATTTTTTCAAAAGCTTGATCAACGAAGTACCGAGTTACGTGAACAAGCCGTATAGCAGAAATAATGATTAGTATAAACTTTTTTTTTTAACAAGAAAGAAAGTAAGTTAAATTAATCAAGAACGAAATCGCAACTATTGTTGTATTACATCACTCAATGTACTATTCCATCAGGAAATTTAAGAGGAAAAACAAGAAACAAAACAGACATGCGAGAAGAAAGGTAAGACAAGAAGGAAAAAAGGAAATAAATGAATCAAAAGTTCAAAAAGATGATTCATCTGGCAGTCACATAATTTTAGTTGGCATAAACGATAGATTTGTGAATGTTTGTGTGTGTGTGCGTATCAGAGACCGAAACGGGTCTTAGGTGGATGACCGAAGGCTTTTCGACCCTATCCTACCCAACCCGAATGACCCGAAAATTTTTCTTGGATGACTTAGCAACTTTTTCTGGAAAAAGAGCAGAAGCCTGTAGCTTTTATAATAGCGTAAAACATATCTCAGATTTTTTCTCCAAGTGATGGTTCATTCAGATTGTGATAACCCGAAACAGTAAATCGTTTTTCTCGATCGTATATTGTCAGGAAGTTTAATCATCATAATGCGAGGCATATTTAAGTTGTTCATTCTTTTGGATTTACTTATGCTTTCTTTCTTATCAATTGAGGAATTACGATAGAAAAGAGCGGCGTCATATGCAAAGAGTTTAAAAACGGATTCCAGTCGCTCCCCGAGACCATCAATGAACACTAAAAATAACAGTGGACTGAGCTCTGGGGCACGTCGCAATTTATATCAGCTAATCCAGATTCAGATCCATCTATTATTGTCGTAATTTTTCTATCTTTTAGATAGTTTTCTATCCATTTAACCAATTGTTCACTCACACCTTTTTGTCTTAATTTGTAAATCAACGCGCGATAACTGACCGAATCAAATGCTCGCGAAAAGTTGAGAAAGATTCGTAGAATGAATTTAGATTCCTCTAATCCTTCATGAATATAATGCAGAAGAGTCACCAAGTGGTTTATGCAAGAATCTTTTTTGAAAAAATCAGGCTGATGAACAGAGATTAAATTATTTTCCATTAGATACTCATATAAATGCCTGAATACAATTCTTTCCATTACTTTACCTAATATTCCTAACAGTGTGATTGGACGATAGTTCTGGATAATATACGGATCAATTATAGTGCCATCGTTTAAGGTAATGGACGGTATCATACTAACTTTACCCCTACCAAGAGCCTTGTTGACAAGCGTCCACCACGAACTACTCGTAGTTTGAATTTTCAAGGAGATTTTCTCAAAGAATTGTCTTTTAATGGCAATACATGCTCTTTCAAATGTTATTGTACTATTATCCCACTTAATCTTCTCAATTTCTAACTTACTCCGATTCCATTTCTTATATAATCGATTTCTCTTTTTATATAGTGAGCGCAGTTCTTCAGTAAACAAAACCCTGTCTTTCACACTCATTTTAATTATTTTGTGTGGTATATGCTTCTTCGCCATATCTATGACAACCCCATTTATACTCTCAATCTGCTCATCCAGGCTTCTAAGGGGTCGAAAACGCGATTTTCACCGTACTAAATCTAAGTTTTGTCTAAATAGGTCTCAATTTGCTTTTTCATAACCGTAGATCAATCGCGAACTGCTAGGTTGTTTAGCTAATTAAGTTGATAAATTGAAACTTACAGCGTAATGATTACAAGATTTAGTTATGTTCGGTACTACTTCTACGCAGCTAATAAAAGAAGCGTTGTTTATGATAAGTGGATCTAATAAAGTCGGCGAGAAAAATCGCGTAGGTTTAATGACTAACTGATAAAAGCCACTAGCACTAACGAAATCTCTCAATTTAATTCCTTCTGAGGTAGATGATTTCACTTGAATGTCACACCATTCAACATAGTGCGCATTTAGGTCTCCTGTAAGGACCCCGCCGGATTTCCATGGAAATCAGCCCCTTTCAAAATTAAACTATTTTATCATAGATAGATAGAGTATTGTAGGACACATCCGAAATCTGTTCTTGATTCTCAAGAGTCGCTTGTCTTTGGTGAGAAAATCAATTTTTTCCGACAAGGTCTCTCACATGGAGTAATTCCAATTAAAAATGTTATAACTTAACGACGAAAAAAGGTATTGACAAACGG